GAGAATGAGGAAGTTTTATTCACGCAGATCCTGTCAACCTGGCTGACTGACAACAATTGTACATAATAAACTTTGTCTAAAGAACAATATACTTGTTAAAGTACATTTTTCTTGAGATTCTTTTGGACAACCAAAATGTTTTGCGGACAACCAGGTTTTGTCAACAGGTTGTCCGCTGGATAACCTGAAAAATATCCTTATGTCTACCCCTGAATTATGACGGTATGATAACCTTGGGCAAAAATAATAATGTTGTTTTGAAATTTGTATTTAAAAACAAAAAAAGAAAATAAATTTTGTCATATTCAACTTAATTATCTTTGGAAGCTGATTTTTGATCTCAGAGGTGTTATGCTGAAATTTTATTTACCTGTGTGCATCTGTACTTATGATTTTTAGCACCTAYTGCAATTAGTTTATCCTGATAAAGTTTACATCTAATAGGATAACTGCTTTTCCACTGCTTTATTAAGACAAATCAGTGTATACTGCACGACAAGTCTTGTTATTGAAGTAATGTATCATGTTGAGATTTTATTGTGTTTTAAATGACAAAAGCATTTTTGGCGTAAAGATTGTATAATTATATGCACACAGAAACAAGAAATCACAACTATGAATGTGTGTTTATGAACCGCCCATTCAGCTAACGAGCTGCTCTGCTAAAGGAGCATTTAGTTTTATCGCCTTTCACTTAAAACTTATCAAATACACAATCCAACAATTCAAAGAGTTTTGCAGACAAGCTGTGACCGGTGCATTAAGCCACAGCAACACAGTGATATGTTTCACAATCTGATGCTAAAGTTAGCTCGTTCGTTTCAAGGTGGCATAAACTTTACCTGGAGCTGCGATCATGTTAGACGTGTTGCCTTCACGGTCCACATTGTCGTCACCTTTACAGCATCCTAAGTGCTTAAGTTTTCATATAGCTGGATTTATTATTTTAGACAGGGGAAAAGTTTGGGMAAGTCTGTTCTTCAGCCACCACACAAACCCCGCAGAGCTGAGCTGAGTGCCGACAGGRAGTCTGCTGCGGGGATGCGCGGCCAAGGGGTTGTGTGGGGGAAGTCTGCAGCTCACAGACCAGAGGAAAAATAAACAAAAAAAACGCTTATACCTTAGGCACGGTATGGCAGAAAATTTTAGTGGTTTTGAAACCGTGACTTTTTCATATCACGGTATACCTTGAAACCGGTATTCAYCTCATGCCTAACTGGAGCCAAGATCGCTGAGGTAGTTAAAAAGCTCCGTGGTAGCAGGGCTCCAGGGGTGGATGACATCCGCCCTGATTTCCTCAAGGCTCTGGATGTTGTGGTGCTGTCCTGGWTGACACYCCTTTGCAACATCACGTGGACATCGGGGGCAGTGCCACTGGATTGGCAGACTGAGGTGGTGGTTCCCCTTTTTAAAAAGGGGGACTGGAGAGTGTGCTCCAATTACAGGGGCATCACTCTCCTTAACCTCCCCAGTAAGGTCTTTTCACGAGTACAGGAGAAGAGAGTCTGATCGATAGTCGAACCTCAGATTCAGGAGGAACAATGCGGGTTCCGTCCTGGCRGTGGAACACTGTACTAACTCTTTACCCTCATTAGGGTCCTTGAGGGGTCATGGGATTTGGTTAATCCAGTCTACTTGTGTTTTGTGGACTTGAAGGCATTTGACCGCGTTCCTCGTGGTACACTGTGGGGGGTGCTACGCGAGTATGGGWTTGTGGGCCCATTGTTACGGGCCATTCAGTGTCTATACAAGCGGTGCAAGAGTTTAGTTTGCATTGCCGGTAGTAAGTCGGACCCCTTCAGATTGGGAGTTGGACTCTGCCAGGGCTGCCCGTTGTCACAGATTCTGTTCATATCTTACATGAACAGAATTTCTCGGTGCACCCAGGGGGCGGAGGGAGTCCGGTTCGGTGGCCTCAGGATTWCTTCTATGCAGTTTGCAGATGATGTGGTTCTGTTGGCGTCATCACACCAGGATCTTCAGCTCTCACTGGAGCGGTTCACAYCTTAGTGTGAAGCAGCTGGGATGAGGATCAGCACTCCAAATCGAAGTCCTTGGTCCACAGTCGGAAAAGGGTGGATTGCTCTCTCTGGGTTGGGGGTGAAGTTCTGCCTCAAGTGGAGGAGTTCAAGTATCTTGGGGTCTTGTTCAAGAGTGAGGGAAGAATAGAGTGTGAGATTMATAGATGGATCAGTGCAGCTTCTGCAGTTTTGCGGACTCTGTACCAGTTTGTTGTGGTGAAGAGGGAGCTGAGCTGTAAGGCAAAGCTCTCTGTTTACTGATCAGTCTACGTTCCTACCCTCACCTATGGTCACGAACCTTGGGTAGTGACCGGAAGAACAAGGTTGCGGATACAAGCAGTTGAAATGAGTTTTCTTCACAGGGTAGCTGGACTCTCCCTTATGCTACGTTCACACTGAATGCYTTTTGAGCAGCAAAAACGCYCCCAATGCCTCCAGTTGGATGCGCTACATTCAGACCGGGACAGAGACTAGACGTGCGTTTAAAGAGGGAGGAGCATCTTGTTTTTTTCCTGTCTGTTTTTCGGCAGATGACATAAAGATAAAATAAAGAAAATGGCTTTGATTTATTTACTAAAGAGCAAGCAAACGTTGCGGACAGCAGAGGATTAATTCACCAGATGATTTAGAGGCGGTTTGTTCAGTTAGTTTCACCACTCCAGGAGCTGCGAGCTGACAAACTGTTTTTTGWCCCGAGTCCAGTTTAACACCACGGTCAGTTTAACAAGCTGCTGACCTGCATCGGTGCTGYTATCTCCAGCCAGAACATCAACTACAGACGGTCGGTTTCAGCTAAAGAGCTCCTYTCCATCTGTTTCGGTTTAGTGGGCAACATTCAGGAAATTGTCACGTGGAAAAATGAGTCTCTCTGATTGGTTGTCGAGCAGCGAAAGATCACATTTTTGAACTCGGGCGTCAGCTGCTTTCACGATACCGCATGCACGGAAAATGCTCTGCCGCACCTTCCGTGCTCCTTCTGCGCCGTGCTAAACGGACCTGATGCGCTGCAAGACCCCTGGAGGTGTGTCCACCTTAGACTTTGCATGTTGTGGTAGAAATAATACTTTATGTTTAAGCAAGTAATTCATGACATCCTTGTTCTGACTTTAATCATTCTGTCTGCAGATGAACAGCATGTCATGAAAACCTAAGTCATTAAAGGATGTCATGAATTACTTGCTTAAACAAGACGCTCCAGCAGTTCAAAACGCGTTCGGTGTGAACGTACCATTAGAGCTTGGGTAAGAAGTTCAGTTATCCGGGAGCGACTCGGCGTAGAGCCGCTGCTCCTCCACATCGAGAGGAGCCAGTTGAAGTGGTTTGGATATCTAGGAAGGATTCCTCCTGGATGTCTCGCTAGGGAGGTGCTTCAGGCATGTCCAACTGGGAGGAGACCCCGAGGAAGACCCAGGACATGCTGGAGAGACTACATCTCTCGGCTGTCCTGGGAATACCTTGGAGTCCTCCCATAAGAGCTGGAAGAGGTGGCTGGGGAAAGAGAGGTTTGGGCTTCCCTGCTGAAGATGCTGCCCCGCGACCCGACTTCGGATAKAGCGGAAGATAATAGATGGATGAATGTATCAATGTTCTATTTCCAAAATGCATTCCTGTTTATTACAAAAATTTGATGTCACAGGCACTTTATTAGGGCTGCATGATATTTTAACTGAGTTTTTTCTAACCCTGCGATTTCAACAATTCACTTGAATAACACTTTAAGTTATGCTGCCATCTTATCAATGAATAAGAATTTTTTTGTGTGTGTTTATAAGTATATGTTGTCTGAGGGTTATTCTTCTTTTATTGGTTTTATTGGGCTGGGACCTGAGTATATTTTTCTTTCTATCATGTGTAAACATG